AAATTTTTAAAAGCGAATACGTTGGGTTAACAACTACTTAAAAAATATTTTAAAAGCGAATACGGTGGGTTAACTACTACTTGAAAAAATGTTTTAAAACGAATGCGGTGGGTTAACTACTACTTAAAAAAATGTTTTAAAAGCGAATCCGGTGGGTTAACTACTACTTGAAAAAATTTTTAAAAGCGAATTCGTTGGGTTAACTACTACTTAAAAAATATTTTAAAGCGAATACGGTGGGTTAACTACTACTTGAAAAAATGTTTTAAAAGCGAATTCGTTGGGTTAACTACTACTTAAAAAATATTTTAAAGCGAATACGGTGGGTTAACTACTACTTGAAAAAATGTTTTAAAACGAATGCGGTGGGTTAACTACTACTTAAAAAATATTTTAAAGCGAATACGGTGGGTTAACTACTACTTGAAAAAATGTTTTAAAACGAATGCGGTGGGTTAACTACTACTTGAAAAAATGTTTTACAGCGAATGCGGTGGGTTAACTACTACTTGAAAAAAATATTTTACAGCGAATCCGGTGGGTTAACTACTACTTGAAAAAATTTTTAAAAGCGAATACGTTGGGTTAACTACTACTTAAAAAAATATTTTAAAAGCGAATACGTTGGGTTAACTACTACTTAAAAAAATGTTTTAAAACGAATGCGGTGGGTTAACTATTACTTGAAAAAATGTTTTAAAAGCGAATCCGGTGGGTTAACTACTACTTGAAAAAATTTTTAAAAGCGAATACGTTGGGTTAACAACTACTTAAAAAATATTTTAAAAGCGAATACGGTGGGTTAACTACTACTTGAAAAAATGTTTTAAAACGAATGCGGTGGGTTAACTACTACTTAAAAAAATGTTTTAAAAGCGAATCCGGTGGGTTAACTACTACTTGAAAAAATTTTTAAAAGCGAATTCGTTGGGTTAACTACTACTTAAAAAATATTTTAAAGCGAATACGGTGGGTTAACTACTACTTGAAAAAATGTTTTAAAAGCGAATTCGTTGGGTTAACTACTACTTAAAAAATATTTTAAAGCGAATACGGTGGGTTAACTACTACTTGAAAAAATGTTTTAAAAGCGAATACGTTGGGTTAACTACTACTTAAAAAATATTTTAAAGCGAATACGGTGGGTTAACTACTACTTGAAAAAATGTTTTAAAACGAATGCGGTGGGTTAACTACTACTTGAAAAAATGTTTTACAGCGAATGCGGTGGGTTAACTACTACTTGAAAAAAATATTTTACAGCGAATCCGGTGGGTTAACTACTACTTGAAAAAATTTTTAAAAGCGAATACGTTGGGTTAACTACTACTTAAAAAAATATTTTAAAAGCGAATACGTTGGGTTAACTACTACTTAAAAAAATGTTTTAAAACGAATGCGGTGGGTTAACTATTACTTGAAAAAATGTTTTAAAAGCGAATCCGGTGGGTTAACTACTACTTGAAAAAATTTTTAAAAGCGAATACGTTGGGTTAACAACTACTTAAAAAATATTTTAAAAGCGAATACGGTGGGTTAACTACTACTTGAAAAAATGTTTTAAAACGAATGCGGTGGGTTAACTACTACTTAAAAAAATGTTTTAAAAGCGAATCCGGTGGGTTAACTACTACTTGAAAAAATTTTTAAAAGCGAATTCGTTGGGTTAACTACTACTTAAAAAATATTTTAAAGCGAATACGGTGGGTTAACTACTACTTGAAAAAATGTTTTAAAAGCGAATTCGTTGGGTTAACTACTACTTAAAAAATATTTTAAAGCGAATACGGTGGGTTAACTACTACTTGAAAAAATGTTTTAAAAGCGAATACGTTGGGTTAACTACTACTTAAAAAATATTTTAAAGCGAATACGGTGGGTTAACTACTACTTGAAAAAATGTTTTAAAACGAATGCGGTGGGTTAACTACTACTTGAAAAAATGTTTTACAGCGAATGCGGTGGGTTAACTACTACTTGAAAAAAATATTTTACAGCGAATCCGGTGGGTTAACTACTACTTGAAAAAATGTTTTAAAACGAATGCGGTGGGTTAACTATTACTTGAAAAAATGTTTTAAAAGCGAATCCGGTGGGTTAACTACTACTTGAAAAAATTTTTAAAAGCGAATACGTTGGGTTAACTACTACTTAAAAAAATATTTTAAAAGCGAATACGGTGGGTTAACTACTACTTGAAAAAATGTTTTAAAACGAATGCGGTGGGTTAACTACTACTTAAAAAAATGTTTTAAAAGCGAATCCGGTGGGTTAACTACTACTTGAAAAAATTTTTAAAAGCGAATTCGTTGGGTTAACTACTACTTAAAAAATATTTTAAAGCGAATACGGTGGGTTAACTACTACTTGAAAAAATGTTTTAAAAGCGAATTCGTTGGGTTAACTACTACTTAAAAAATATTTTAAAGCGAATACGGTGGGTTAACTACTACTTGAAAAAATTTTTAAAAGCGAATACGTTGGGTTAACTACTACTTAAAAAATATTTTAAAGCGAATACGGTGGGTTAACTACTACTTGAAAAAATGTTTTAAAACGAATGCGGTGGGTTAACTACTACTTGAAAAAATGTTTTACAGCGAATGCGGTGGGTTAACTACTACTTGAAAAAAATATTTTACAGCGAATCCGGTGGGTTAACTACTACTTGAAAAAATTTTTAAAAGCGAATACGTTGGGTTAACAACTACTTAAAAAAATATTTTAAAAGCGAATACGGTGGGTTAACTACTACTTGAAAAAATGTTTTAAAACGAATGCGGTGGGTTAACTACTACTTAAAAAAATGTTTTAAAAGCGAATCCGGTGGGTTAACTACTACTTGAAAAAATTTTTAAAAGCGAATACGTTGGGTTAACTACTACTTAAAAAATATTTTAAAGCGAATACGGTGGGTTAACTACTACTTGAAAAAATGTTTTAAAACGAATGCGGTGGGTTAACTACTACTTGAAAAAATGTTTTACAGCGAATGCGGTGGGTTAACTACTACTTGAAAAAAATATTTTACAGCGAATCCGGTGGGTTAACTACTACTTGAAAAAATTTTTAAAAGCGAATACGTTGGGTTAACTACTACTTAAAAAAATATTTTAAAAGCGAATACGGTGGGTTAACTACTACTTAAAAAAATGTTTTAAAACGAATGCGGTGGGTTAACTACTACTTGAAAAAATTTTTAAAAGCGAATACGTTGGGTTAACTACTACTTAAAAAAATATTTTAAAAGCGAATACGGTGGGTTAACTACTACTTAAAAAAATATTTTAAAAGCGAATACGGTGGGTTAACTACTACTTGAAAAAATGTTTTACAGCGAATGCGGTGGGTTAACTACTACTTGAAAAAAATATTTTACAGCGAATCCGGTGGGTTAACTACTACTTGAAAAAATTTTTAAAAGCGAATACGTTGGGTTAACTACTACTTAAAAAAATATTTTAAAAGCGAATACGGTGGGTTAACTACTACTTAAAAAAAATGTTTTAAAACGAATGCGGTGGGTTAACTACTCTTTGAAAAAATGTTTTAAAAGCGAATACGTTGGGTTAACTACTAATTAAAAAAATATTTTACAGCGAATCCGCGAATCCGCTTGAATGACCAATAGAATTTACTGGACTTTTCCTGGACTTTTGTTTACACATTGCGAGAGAGTGTATACTGCTGCAGATTTGACAAAGTCCAGGATAGGCGTTTTTTGCTCATCACTATTTTTTTATTGCTCCCTCACATTATTATGTTCCATGTCTCTCTTTCTCCCCTCTTCTTTCCACTATTTTTTTCGCTCCCTACTAATCCTAAAAGGTAAGTGGGAGGAGCCTAACTCTTTTAACTTTGAATCTTGAATAAATTTAACATTTAAACATTTAAAATTTAGTTTAACTTAATTTTAATTTACATCTTTTTTCAGGAATTATTTAAACCTCAACTGCAACACCAAAAAAAATCCAATTTTTCATTGTTTGGACGCATATACTTTCATGGGACGCATGTCCTAGGATAGAGACAATATTTTTATTTGAATATTATTATTAAAATATTTTAATAATGATTGTTGATTGTTGAATTGTAAAAATTATTAATAACTTGTAGGTATAAAGAAAAATTTTTATTATTTTTACCAATATCTTCCTAATCTTTCTCAATAACATTTTTGTATTTTTCAATTACACTTTTATTTTCACATTTATTAAAAATTCGAGGCGGAGGCGGCGGCTCCGGCACAGAAATTGGAGGCGGAAATCGGAACACGTGACGCACAGTATGCTGAGAATTAACGGAAATGGTGGCGCAAATCCTTAAAAGTTTTTTAGTTCACCTCAATTTTAATTTACATTTTTTCACGAATTATTTAAAAAGAATATTGAATTATTCAACTTAGACGGAAGGAAATAACGATACCAGTGGAAACAACAATAATAATGGTCAAAATTTTAAAAAAAATCAAATTTTTTTCAAAAAAATCTCAAAAAATTATTACTATTATGTGATTAAAATTTTATTTTTTATAAAACTACTGTCGAAGTTCGACATTTTAGAAAAATATTGATAATTTTTATTTTATTTCACATATTTTTCACGTGCTCTATTTCTTTCCATTTTTTATTTTTATACCCTCGATTATAGGGATTAATCATTTTTCCCTATTTTTTCTTTCTTACTTTTAAGTTTCACACACTTTAGCGCTAAAACACTTCCGCTCTTAGTGGCATGAATGAATAATTTTATTTTCCTATGAAATAAAATCTTCTTCTTTATATTTTTTAATCTTCTACAATCACTTAAAAAACTTAACAAACACTATTGAATAAAACTATGTTTTAAATTGGAATAAAAATTATTTATTTTTATTTTATTCTTTGGAATTGAATAAATTATTATTCAATTAAATAATTCTAATATTTGAATTAATTTAATTAATTCAATATTTTTCTTTATTGTTGCTAAAAAGAACCCGAAGAACTCGAATTTTTACTACTACTAATATTAAATAACTACTATAAAAACAACCACTTTTACTAATTCTACGACCACTTTTTGCCTTCTTTCTTGCTTTAATTCTCTTTACATTTATTTTTCTCTTGGTGGCGCATAGCTTGGGGTTGCATTTGGTCCATTTCTCTTTTCGCCTCGACTCATATTAAGAAAAGTGGTTGTCTGTTGAGTAAAATTGAAAAAGTGGCTGTGTGTTTGCGAATTGTAAAATAAAGTGGTTGTTTGCACAGGAAATGGAAAGGAAAAATGTATAGGAAAATAAATAATTCTCGACGTAGCAGATTTCAAGTCCTTCCGTGTTACTTGATGCCCTATTATGTAAATTCTTAGCATCCAATCAACTTGATTATGGTACAATCTGAAGACTCAAATGTGCTACTTTGATTTTTAACCGTTTTAAATCGATTTCTGTTCATTTTAAAGGGCTAGGGATTCATTAATTTTTGAGTGTGGCCGAAGGTTCGAGAGTTCTCGCCGAGATTATAGCGGTTTTTGGTTTAAATCACGAAGGACAAGCATGAATTCATCTGAGGATTAATTCTCGGCTGAAAATAAGAAATTCGCTAATCTCGATGAAAGAGAAAAAAATTTGATGCTAAATGTAGCCTTTTGGCTGGATTGGTGAAGTGAAAAGTTGAGATTTTGTGTTGAGACGAAGCGTCCTCGTTGAAGGATATGAATTTTATGCCAATTCATTGCTGAATTGGCAAGATGAGCGTTTGGTCGGTTCGAAGCAAACTTTTGAGTGCTCGTAAAGTCAGCAAGTGACCCGAGGTTGGTTGTAAGACCAAATCTGTCTCGCCTCGTGTGTCGTTCTGGCGCCGACGATGCGTGACAAATATTCAGCTATCGCTTTTTTGGGTAAAATGTTACTCTCAGATTTCGTGAGTGAATTTTACCTAGATTTACGAGATATCTGGTTGATCCTGCCTGAACTGATGTGTTCATTTCAAAGATTAAGCCATGCATGTACAAGTTTAATCGTTTTAACGAGAAACCGCGAACGGCTCATTACAATGGCCATGATTTACTTGATCTTGATTATCTAAATGGATAACTGTGGAAAAGCTAGAGCTAATACATGCACCAAAGCTTTGTCCTCTCGGAAAAGCGCATTTATTAGAACAAAACCACGCGGCTTCGGCTGCTTCTTGTTGACTCAGAATAACTAAGCTGACCGCATGGCCTTGTGCCGGCGGCGTGTCTTTCAAGCGTCCACTTTATCAACTTGACGGGAGCATAATCGACTCCCGTGGTGGTGACGGATAACGGAGGATCAGGGTTCGACTCCGGAGAAGGGGCCTGAGAAATGGCCACTACGTCTAAGGATGGCAGCAGGCGCGCAAATTACCCACTCTCGGCTCGAGGAGGTAGTGACGAGAAATAACGAGATCGTTCTCTTTGAGGCCGGTCATCGGAATGGGTACAATTTAAACCCTTTAACGAGTATCAAGCAGAGGGCAAGTCTGGTGCCAGCAGCCGCGGTAATTCCAGCTCTGCTAATACATAGAATTATTGCTGCGGTTAAAAAGCTCGTAGTTGGATTCGTATCGGTACCCTGGAACCCTCCGGGTGTTTCTGGGTGTTATCGATTTATCGTAATGTTCGGTTTTGAGTCCTTAACAGGATTCTTAACAGGCATTGCAAGTTTACTTTGAACAAATCAGAGTGCTTCAAACAGGCGTTTTCGCTTGAATGATCGTGCATGGAATAATAGAAAACGATTTCGGTTCAGTTTTATTGGTTTTACGGACTGAGATAATGGTTAACAGAGACAAACGGGGGCATTTGTATGGCCCCGTGAGAGGTGAAATTCTTGGACCGTGGCCAGACAAACTACAGCGAAAGCATTTGCCAAGAATGTCTTCATTAATCAAGAACGAAAGTCAGAGGTTCGAAGGCGATCAGATACCGCCCTAGTTCTGACCGTAAACGATGCCAACTAGCGATCCGCCGATGGAAATTATATTGCCTTGGTGGGGAGCTTCCCGGAAACGAAAGTCTTCCGGTTCCGGGGGAAGTATGGTTGCAAAGCTGAAACTTAAAGGAATTGACGGAAGGGCACCACCAGGAGTGGAGCCTGCGGCTTAATTTGACTCAACACGGGGAAACTCACCCGGCCCGGACACTGTGAGGATTGACAGATTGATAGCTTTTTCATGATTCAGTGGATGGTGGTGCATGGCCGTTCTTAGTTCGTGGAGTGATTTGTCTGGTTTATTCCGATAACGAGCGAGACTCTAACCTACTAAATAGCTGGTACATACTCTTAGTGTATACAGCTTCTTAGAGGGATTTGCGGTGTTCAGCCGAAAGAAATTGAGCAATAACAGGTCTGTGATGCCCTTAGATGTCCGGGGCTGCACGCGCGCTACACTGGCAAAATCAACGTGCTTGTCCTACCCCGAAAGGGGCGGGTAAACCATTGAAAATTTGCCGTGATTGGGATCGGAAATTGCAATTATTTTCCGTGAACGAGGAATTCCAAGTAAGTGCGAGTCATCAGCTCGCGTTGATTACGTCCCTGCCCTTTGTACACACCGCCCGTCGCTGCCCGGGACTGAGCCATTTCGAGAAATTTGGGGACCGTTGATTTAATTTATCTAAATTACTTTGATGGAAACCAATTTAATCGCAGTGGCTTGAACCGGGCAAAAGTCGTAACAAGGTAGCTGTAGGTGAACCTGCTGCTGGATCATTACTTTATGTGATGTTCAAATTTGAATTCGCAATGAATTAATCGTTGTGAAACGGCTGTCGCTGGTGTCTAGGTATTGCTGATACAGTTGTGAACGTCCGTGGCTGTATATGTGGTGACATGTTAGGACTCTAATGAGTTTAAGACTTAATGAGCCTCTTAGGTGAGGACGCCAGCACTCTTTTTTTCTTTATATTTAAAAAAACGAAAATTTCTAGCCTTATCGGTGGATCACTCGGCTCGTGGATCGATGAAGAACGCAGCAAACTGCGATAATTTGTGCGAACTGCAGAAACCTTGAGCACAAAAGTTTTGAACGCATATTGCCGCATTGGGGTCAAACCCTCTGCTACGTCTGGTTCAGGGTCATTTTCTTTTAAAGCGAAAGCTTATATTATATATTGCTTTTAAGCTTTATACTTTAAAATAATTGGTGGTTATATCTAATTGTTTACAAATATAACACCAACAATAACATTTTTGACCTGAACTCAGTCGAGAGCACCCGCTGAACTTAAGCATATCAGTAAGCGGAGGAAAAGAAACTAAACAGGATTCCCCCAGTAACGGCGAGTGAAAAGGGAAATGTCCATCGCTAAATCATTTTGCCTCAGGCATTATGAGGTGTAGCGTATAAGCCGTAATCTTTGATCTTTTATCTCAAACAAGTTCCCTTGACAGGGGTTCCATAGAAGGTGCAAGTCCTGTACATTGAGATAATGGATAAATATTTGCGTGCTTTAGAGTCGGGTTGTTTGGGATCGCAGCCCAAAGTCGGTGGTAAACTTCATCTAAGACTCAATATTGCCACGAGACCGATAGCAAACAAGTACTGTGAAGGAAAGTTGCAAAGCACTTTGAAGAGAGAGTTAAAGAGGACGTGAAACCGATGAGGTGGAAACGGATAGAGTCGGCGTATCTGACAAGTATTCATTTACATTATTTTTATGTTGTGATCTCTGAGCTCCAGATTGGGACAGAAAGAAGCAGCATAATTTTCTGTGATGCATTTACTTGTTTGGTGCTTGGGGATGTTTGAGGCAGATTTGTAACCGCCGTTTTGAGGCCAGCTTGCTGGTACCCAAACGGTGTTAGCATTTTTTGTCTTGAACATTTGAGTATGGCTTACGGGCATTTATTGGTTCGATCTAAATGTAAGTTACGGTCGCAGGCGACACGTGCTTTTCAATTAGTTCGGTCCAGTTAATGCTCTCGTACTCTTTCCCCATGTAAAAGCCGGTCATCTATCCGACCCGTCTTGAAACACGGACCAAGGAGTTTATCGTGTGCGCAAGTTTTTGGGTGTTAAAAACCTAGAAGCAAAATGAAAGTAAATGGCTCTTTAGAGTCTGATGTGCGATCTTGTAAAAAAGTGCAGCATGGCCCCATTCTAACTGTTTACAGTAGGGTGGCGGAAGAGCGTACGCGGTGAGACCCGAAAGATGGTGAACTATTCCTGAGCAGGACGAAGCCAGAGGAAACTCTGGTGGAAGTCCGAAGCGGTTCTGACGTGCAAATCGATCGTCTGACTTGGGTATAGGGGCGAAAGACTAATCGAACCATCTAGTAGCTGGTTCCCTCTGAAGTTTCCCCCAGGATAGCTGGAGCTCACGAGTAGTTATACTCGGTAAAGCGAATGATTAGAGGACTTGGGAACGAAATGTTCTTAACCTATTCTCAAACTCTAAATGGGTATGATGTCAAAGTTGCTTGATTTTGAACTTTGGCGTTGAATACGAGCTCCAAGTGGGCCATTTTTGGTAAGCAGAACTGGCGATGTGGGATGAACCAAACGCGGAGTTGCGGTGCCAAAGTGCCCGCTCATTAGACCCCATAAAAGGTGTTGGTTGATACAGACAGCAGGACGGTGGCCATGGAAGTCGGAATCCGCTAAGGAGTGTGTAACAACTCACCTGCCGAATCAACTAGCCCTGAAAATGGATGGCGCTGGAGCGGGCCACCTATACTCTGCCGTCATATGCTTGTATTTTTGAGTCTTGCAATGACGTGTAAGAGGGTCGTAGTGGTTGCGTTGAAGGCTTTGGGTGTGCACCCAGCTGGAGCTTCCATTAGTGCAGATCTTGGTGGTAGTAGCAAATATTCAAGTGAGATCCTTGAAGACTGAAGTGGAGAAGGGTTCCACGTGAACAGCAGTTGAATGTGGGTCAGTCGATCCTAAGGCACCGGCTAAAGCCGTCTAGACACTGCGGGGAGATGAGATACTTAACGGTATTTTGTCCACCCGGTTGCCGAAAGGGAAGTGGGTTAATATTCCCACACCAGGCATGGGAGATGGTGATCCTCAAGGATTACTTTGCGCGGTGACGTAAACGAACTCGTAGACCTCGTGTGGAGTCCGGGCCAGAGTTCTCTTTTCTGGTTTAGAGATCATGTCCCTGGAAGTGGCTCAGCCTGAGATAGGGATGCTGGTCTCGTAAAGCGCAGCGGTTCTTGTTGTGTCCCGTGTGCTCCACATGAGCCGTGAAAATGCGAGGGAGGCAATTTAAAATCTCCTGCCTGATCGTACCCATATCCGCAGCAGGTCTCCAAGGTGAACAGCCTCTAGTCGATAGAATAATGTAGGTAAGGGAAGTCGGCAAATTAGATTCGTAACTTCGGGAAAAGAATTGGCTCTAAAGGTTGGGTCAGTCGGGCTGTTGTGTGAAACAGGTGGACTTTGTTCGTGGCTGCTTGCACTTCCTTTCGGGGCGGCGCTTGTGGACTAGTAGTGAGGACTGCTTGTGGAGCGCTTCAGCTGCGTGCTATTTCGCAAGATATAGTACTTCGATTGGCGCTGAACAACCAGTTTAGAACTGGCACGAACTCCGGGAATCCGACTGTCTAATTAAAACAGAGGAGACGGATGGTCCTTGCAGGACGTTGACCGTGTCTGATTTCTGCCCAGTGCTCTGAATGTTAAGCCAAGGAAACTTGATTAAGCGCGGGTAAACGGCGGGAGTAACTATGACTCTCTTAAGGTAGCCAAATGCCTCGTCGGCTAACTACCGACGCGCACGAATGGATCAACGAGATTCCCACTGTCCCTATCTACTATCTAGCGAAACCACAGCCAAGGGAACGGGCTTGGCAAATTTAGCGGGGAAAGAAGACCCTGTTGAGCTTGACTCTA